GGTGGTGGTGGTGACTGTGCCCCCTCCCCACCCCAACTGAGGCTGATGGTGCCGGTGGGGGTCCCCATCCTGCCCCACACCCTCCTGAGCTGCACCCAGATGTGACCCCTGGGATGGGGAGGGCAGCAGGGCAGTCACCCCCCCACCCAAGGACCCCCCATGCACCTGGAAATGTGGCGGGAAGCGGCTGTGGCTCATTAAAGCAGAGACTGGAGGAGAAGGCCTGTTGCTCCGGCTGGCAGTCGGGCTGGGCCCCCCGCGTTCACCCCGGCAGGTGCAGATTGCTGTGCGAGCTGTGTTTTATTGGGGGATCACTCGGCTGGGGAGGGGGGAGCAGCCCGGTGGTCCCTGCCACCCCCTTGGCTACCAGGCTCAGGGAAGGCAGGGAAAGCCCATGGATGCAGGTGATGGGGACAATTAATCAACCTGGAGAGTGGCTTGTCCTCCCCTCAGTGTCTGTCCCTCGTGGCACTACTGCAGGACCGAGTCGGCGGTGAGCTTTCGGCGCAGGGAGGGGTTGAGGACAGGGTAGAGGGACACAATGGAGGGCCGGGGGCGCAGGCTGGGGTACACGCGCTGCAGCACAGCCCGTCGGAAGAGGATGTAGACCCAGGGGTCCAGGATCTGGTTCCAGGTGACCATGCGGATGTAGATGAGCAGCATCTTCTGCGTCTCTGTGGGCAGCATCTGGACCTGGCCACTGGTTGGCAGCTGCTGCAGGACCGTCTGGACGATGAAGATCTGGGGGGGAAGAAGGGGGCAAGGTTTCAGAGAGATCCATGCAGAGGCCATGAGCTGCCCAGCGTGGGGGAGATGATGAGGTCCAGGCTGGGCATTGGGCCTGTTGGAGAGGGGTCTGGGCTGGTTTGGGGCAGCTGCTACGGGGGGAGCACCCAACCTGCCGAGTGGTGCTGAGCCCTAGAGTCCATCACTCAGGTGCCAACCCAGGGTGCAGAGTTGTGGCGGGGTGACACCAAGACTCAGGTCCTCACCAGGAGGGACACCCCCAGAGCTGGAGCCTCACTGGCAGGGACATGGCAGAGGGAACACTCAGACCCTCACCAGGAGGGGCACTGGGGTGACACCAGGACCCAGGGCGACATGGAGGGGGGGAACACCAAGACACAGGTCCTCACCAGGAGGGGCATCCAGCAGATGGTGGCGATGATCATGATGCCCACGAGCTGCACCATCATCTCTACCTCGCTGTCCCGGCGCCGCTGCACCGACTCCCGGTCATGGTACACGCGGCAGAGCGTCACCACGCTGACTGTGTTAAAGATGAAGGAGAGCAGCACAGAGAAGATGCCCAGCAGGGCAAAGACCAGGCAGAAGATGATGTTGCCGGTGTCAGGCAGGAGGGTGAGGAAGCACCACGAGCCGGGGTACTGCAGCGTGTACCGCCCCAGCCCCAGCACCGGCAGCAGCCCCAGCAGGCAGGAGAAGCCCCACACCAGCCCCACAATGGACCAGGCACGACGCTTGGAGATGCTGGTGGAGCGGGAGAAGGGGTGGTTGATGCCGAAGAACCTCTCGCCGGCCATGGTAGCCCCCAGCAGCAGTGGGCACTGCCCAAAGAAGACCATGGAGAAGCCGAGGAAGTTGCAGAGGTGGCAGCCGGGGTCCACCTCAG